ACACAGCCCTTTGCAGATCACCAACAAGGGCTCTCTAGGCCACCAGTGGCACATGGCCCTGTTTCAGAAACAACGTGCTATAATAATGTATCCCTAACCATGCTTTATACCAATAAGTAGGCTATAACCCTGTCAAGGTGTGCTGGTGACTCTATAAACCATGAGACCTGAATGGTCAATGGTCGAGTGGTTTAAAGCTGTCACCAGAATACTGAGATAGCCTTATAAGCCTTGTGCTGCATGGCTGAGGATACATTATTCACTATAATATATGGTAAGAAATACCTGCACAGGGTCTGAAATGAAGTGCCTTAGCCACTAGCCAGCATGGCTAGTGATTGGGGAAATCCGTCAGCATTTTCATGTGCTACAGGAGGCAAAAAGAGATGGACACCGGGGCACGGGAGCTCACCTTCTCTGTGTAAAGAAACTGCTTTGTGCAGGAGACAGAGGGTGAGCATGGCTGAGCCCCTCGCCTGTGCTTCCTGCAATAGGGCAGCACTTGGCACTGCTGACCTTCAGAGCTCTCCAGCTCCATGTTCCTTCCCCAGCCCATTCTTCTGTTTTGTGGAGGAACCGTGAAGTGCTTGGTCTGTCAGTTCAGAGCTGCTCAGGGAAGGCATGTGAGGACCATGTGTGAGGCTCAGGCGGGAGGTAGGGGTGTGTGGGCCATGGGATGGGATGTTGTGCAGAGGTCCATGGTCTAGAAAGGACATCCATCAATTCTGCATCTTCTTACCTCCAGCCATGGGCAGCCTTGGTGTGTATGTACATGGCTAGAGGGGTGAGGGAGGAGAAGGCAGGGGCAATAGGGTGAAGGAGTGCTCTGAATCAAACAGACAGAACATGGAGGGGGTAATGAGTGCTTTGATGAGGCACTGGAGGGGTTTATGGCAAAGCCTCTGTCCCTGACAACCTTGGCAAATAAAAGATTTCCCCATCTTGATAGCCTATGTTGCTCCAACCACAGGAGACAGTCCCTGACTGTATGCCCATGTGAGTACCCTTCAGTGGCAGGGAAGAAAAGAGGAAAGCCTGGGGAATTTCATTAGGAGATGGGAGGAGAGGAAGGAAAACCCTTTTCCTGAACCATAGACAGAGCTAAAATTGCCTGAAGGGCTTGGCTGGCTTGCTTTATTTACTGTATTACTGTATATGCATACATACATACATGCATATTTGTATGTGTATATATATATGTATTCTCACACACACACACACACACGGCTTTACTGGTCTTTATCAGGAGAGGACTCAGGGGCATCCCTTCCTACTGCAGAGGCTGGGAGACAACAGTGCTGCAGGGGAGGATGCGGGGAAGAGCCCTTCTCTGCCTGGGATCAGTAGCTGGGTGGCAGGAGCCAAGGCAGAGGAATCTAGGGGCTTCAAACATGGGGCTGGCTACCCCCTTGGCTCACTTGTTATGTTAAGAGCCCATCGACAGAGCAGGGGCTGTGGAGTGCAGGGAGAACAGAGGGATGGGCTCTGAATGCAGCCACCCAGCATCCTTCTGTTCTCCATATGGTACACTGTCTGGCCCCCTCCCTCCATACTGCCTCTCTCCTTACTGTTCTCACATCAAATGTTTTCCCTTTTTATTAAAACCCTTGGAGTGGTCAGCAGGGTGACAGGCACCAGGAATTTGTAAAGGATGGAGGAGGACAAGAAACAAGTTTGTGTTTGTCAAGTAGAAGCCATGTCCCTTCATTCTCCTCTCTGACCTCCCTCATGGGCTCCTGTCTGGGCTGGACCATGCCTGGTGGCAACCTGATTTGGCAGCTTGGGGTGTATGAGGCGGTGGGAAGTCTGCCACATCTCAGTCACCCCATTGCAAATGCACAGCCCTCTGTCACACACTTATCTGTGTGGGGTGAGGTGCTGCTTCCTACTGTACCACACCACAGACCAAAAAACTCATAAAATAAAGGTTTTCCCTGCAACACCCACCTGAACCACAGCATTTGCCCCGTAGTGGTGGTAGCTTGATGGGCTCTCAGACCAGGGAAGACCTCTCTGTCTCCCTCTGTCCAGTTCTCGCAAGGCCCCATATTTAACAGTTTCTTTTAAAACCTGCACCATATGAGATCTTCTCATCCCTTTCAAGACATTCTCTTCTGGGCTACCCGATTTCTTATTTAAAACTTGTTTTAAAGAGCTACTATGCCCCAGAAGATGCTTCCTGTGTAATGACCCACCCCGAAGTAGTACAAAACACATTAGAAAGTCTCTTCTTTAGTGATTTTTTATATTTGATGTCAGTGAAGACAAAACCAATGGTGTCAAGTAACGTAAGGAAGGGGAAGATTAAACAAAATCTATCCCCTGCAAAAACAAAGCAATCAATATAGCATTATCCCGCTGCAGTGGCTTTCAACTTGCTTTGTGGACCCCTGAAAAATCTCTCATGAGGGCTCAACATCCCCCCCCCACCCCGTGAAAATTCCCAAGCCCCAAACATCTTGGTGAAATTTCTTTTCCCACCCTCCTTACAATTAAACCATGTTCTCCCAGGAATCTGCAGACCACAGGTTCAAAAATACCATCCTACAGAATACCAATTCAAATGTAACTAAGACTAATTAAGTAGGGAACTTCCTATTGTTATTGCAATACTCTCAGACTCTTCTTACCTGGAGAATCCATTTTGCCTCCTCTGGGATGCTATTGCTCTGGTCCCATCTTTCAAGCCTATCTGCTGCAACGTAGAAACACCAAGTTCCTCTGTTCACCACACAGAAGAAACACAACACATTAAAGATGGCAGGAAAATTTATGGACATGTTTTGCTTTTGCAGAAAAAAAGGATTTTGTTTTTTAAGGGTACCTCCTCCTTCCCCAATAACAACATGAAGAAATTATTGATTAATGTCAAACCAAATTTGTTATTCTCATTTCCATTTTTGCTTCTGCTTTGTGTTCTCTCATTTTCTTTCTCAGACCTCAATTAAACATTTCTGCTGGAGAGGGGAGCATCACCTGTATTTAACTGGCTTAGCACAAGAAAAACACGAAAACAGGAATTAAGAGGGGTTGGTATCTAAGGTACAAAATATTTTATTTCTGTAGGCCATATGCTGACTATCTCTGTGTAACACATGAGATGCTGAAGAAATGAAGGTGAGAAGCTTCAACAGCTACAAAACTTCTCCAGAATTTCCTTTTCATGAAAATAAAAAAAGAAATACAGCAGCACCTACGCCTGAACCCAGGGCAGACAGCATTCAGAGATACTGCAAAAAATGTCGAAACAGAAAAGCTGTGTTTCTTTCAAGTTATTCTACAGATCTTTAAAGATGCTGCTCCATGAAATAACGTGTGGTTCATTCCCCAACGCATCAGCTTGGGAAATATATGCAATGAAAAATTCTTTATTTCCAGCTAATTGTACTTTCATTTCCTCCTCCTATTGTTGCAAGGCTGTGCAGGCTGGGGTTTGGAGCAGTACATTCCATACCCCATCACAGCAGTACCTAAGACAGCTAGGAGGCACAGCCACCTCCTTCACTTGTTATGTCCTTCTTGGCAAATATACTTGGGACCCATAAGTTTGGAGTGGACTGTGGACTGGCAATAGGTCCTCTTAACGTTTTATTCCTGGCTTCTGTCATTCGCATGCTGTACAGTTGCAGTCAAACAAATGAACTCCTCTGCATCTTAGCTACCCTTTCTGTAAAGTGAAGGTAATAATATTTATCCAGCTGGGATGCTGCAAGGAGTAATTAATGTGTACAAATCACTTTGAATTCCTCTAACAAAGTGCAAATTGTATTAGTCCCCACAGAAGCTGGTAATAGGTTTGTGTCTTCCTTCACTGAAGGTCTGACCTCATTTCCCTAGGGTAATCTTGAGGAAAAACTCTTCCTACTATTTGTATTACAACAGCACGTAAGGCCAGAATCCCCATTGTGCTCAGGGCTGTATGTTCATATGGTAACAGCCCACACTCTACAGACCTTATATTCAAACTGAGAAAAGATGGGAGAAAGGAAGCATTCACCCTATTTCAAAGGTAAACAACCAAGGCACAGAGAAGCAGCATCTTGCTGGTATCAAGCCTATGAAGCAATGTAATTCTTTTCAAAAGGCTGTCACCTCAGATTGACTTCCTGTCACAAGCTGAATTCTCACCTCTTTTGTCTGGACACCAACCTTTCCCATTTTGGTGAGTGACAGATCAGCCAGGTGGCAATGGATGGAGCTCACTTCTTATGGGGTACTTGGAGAGAGCAGTGTTAGGGCAAGTCAGGGTTTGCAGAGGAAGAAATGATGTGGCTTTGGGTAGAGTAGGTGACCACTGGTCCTGTTCTTCATCTCATGCTCTTTTGGAGACCTGGACACATTCTGTGCTGTGATTTCTGCTATGAGAGGAGAGAAAGCAAGAGAATCCAAGAAGAACTGGTTAAGTTGGCTTTGTAAACCTTCATGCATAAATATCTGGGGAAATGTGGAAGTATCTCCAACAGCTCTTCTAGTATTTGCCATGTTCTTTTTTTGGCTGATATAACTGTTAATTTTTTGTTACTGCATCTGTAGCTTGAATAGAGCAGTTGTTTCACCACTGGTATATTGGAATTCTTCATTTTTGGACTAATGAAATGGTCTAAAACTTGATTCCATTTTTTTCTCCCCTGATGTTAGAAATCAGTTTAAATTGTGCCTTTCCTGAAGAAAAAATAGAGTGGAAAAAAGGCATGTCACAAAATTCCCTACCAGTGCCAATGATAGTCTGGTGATCCTGTTCACATTCTGTATTTAGCTATAAAATATGGCTCCGTGGACAGCTGTATGTTTCACCAGCACTGCTGATATTTCATGGAGGAGATTGGAGTCAATGGTTAGCCTCCTGTCCAGCTGGTCCTCAGGTGCGTTGCTACTAAGCCACTTCTAATGCCAATACCCAGATGGGTCAACAGACTTTCTGGGTGAAGGTACCACCATTTCCAGTTCTCCTGCTCTCCCTAAAGACCTCAGGCACTTGTCATATTAAAGACCTCAGGCACTTGTCATATGGAAGTTCAAGCAGCAAGGGGAGCCTCTGATCCCTAGAGGCACCTCCCAGTGGTTTCAGCACCCAGGAGGCAAGCTAAGGAGGTGTGACCCACATCATCTCGCTACCAATGGGATGAGATGAAGGATGAAAGTTGGCATGATCAGACAGTTGGGGGCTAAAGCCTCTGGTGGTGTAAATCATTCCCATTCCATGGATTTTACAAGACTGTGTTAATACACACCAGTAGAAGACCTCAGCCTCTAACACCATTAAGCCATGGGCTCCTTTAGTGCTCAGGCAACCATATGTTGGAAAGGACCCACCAAGACAGAGGGCACCTTTCCTTGGGTGATCCTTCCAGAGCAGCCAGCAGAAGCTGAGCAGGACTTCCCTTCCTCCCCTTCCTTTTCCTGCCTGCTGCTAGCTGCCTGTGCTGCACACCTCTCAAAGCCAGGGTCCCTCCTCCACCGGTCGATGCTTGCCCGGAGAACTGGGAGCTGCTTATAGGCGGTATAGAGGATGGCTTTTGAACATAGCATGTGTAAGGATGGAAGGATGAGGGGAGGGGGTGGGGGAAGAGGAGAGGTACAGACACAGCACTCCTTGGCAGTGATTTATAGAGTGGGTCAGGCACAAATTGACTCGTATGCAAGAAATGTAAATGGAATCGAGACTTTTGATGGAGAAGCTCATTTTCAGACTTAAACGCTTTAGATTAAACACACTCACACACAAATGCTGGCGGGGAGGGTGTTTTATATAATTTACATTACAAATCAATTCATTATCCACAGAGGCAGGTTGTACTGATTTTCAAGGATCGGAGATTTGATGAAGAGGATTCATTTCAAGAAATAAACCTTTTAAATTAACCGCAAGATGAGGGAAATTTCTTTATTTAAAAAATGCGCCAGCCCCTTCTTTGTTTCTTTTATTATTATTAATATTATTTTCCATCCGGCTCTGGGTCATTAAGGAGGGTCCAGAAGTCACAGATTGCCTTTCTGAAGGAGGAGAGCTGAGAACTTCGAATGTCACACATTTTGTCTGGCTCCAAACCCTTCATTTATTGCAACACAATTTGTTACCTGTGGTTGGCTCTGCACACCATTGTGTGCTGTGCGCCAGGACTGATTTAGCAGGGAATGTCCTCTCCACCTTGAACTTGAAAGGGGGAAAATCTCTTGAGAGAGGCGATAGAAGAATCATGAAAGTCAGTCTTCCAGCTACTTAAGAAGAGAAATGACCTTTGAGGTCTGGGTAAAGTCCCCTCAAGCTTTGACAGGGATGGAGCTCAGGAAACCCTGGTTATAACAAAGGCAGATGGTTCTGTGAGGGCACATTTAAGATGCAGGGGTAAAGAAATGGAAAAAAAGAAATCCTGGAACCAACACGTGTCCTGATGTGCCATCCTGCCATAGAAGTGTGCAGATTGCAGTGGACAATCGCCAAGGCTGGAGGCAAAGGACGGGTCAAGATGATTAAAGGACTAGTGCCATGTTACCCTCGTCTTCCTTGGCAAGGCTGCAAAGGACCATCTTTGAGGATGGTAGTTTCTTTCTGAACCATTTGGGAATAGTTTGCTCCCCTCCAGTCCTTCCTGGCCACAGCTTCCTTGTAACTCCCTGCAAAAGCTCCTGCAACCTAATTGCAAATGTAGCCTCCCAGTTCCCCAGCATTCTGCCTGGCTGCAGCATGGAGAGAGGCAAAATAAGATTGCTGGAGCAAGCATCTGCTGTCTTCCATAAGAAAACTTTTCTTTTTTAGATAGGTTCATTTCAAACCCCAAATGGTTGAGCCTCTTTCCTATTTGAACAAGAGCCAGTCCTTCAGAAACACAACTGCTCACCTAACCATAGGTGACCACCTTAGTTGTGTAGGATGAACCTGCACCAGAGGCTTTTCACAGGTGATGTCTGGGAATGGACAGCTTTTGGGCCCTGGAGCCATCTGCATTCCTCGGTCCCAGTGAGGCTTCCTGATCCAAACCCTAGTGTGGGCCCTCCTTGAAGCCATCCTCTTTGCAGGAAGAACCTGGCTACTGGTGAGACTACAGCCAGTGCACCACTGTCCTCGGATGAGAAATGCAACGTTTGCCCTACTGGAGAGTCCCAGAACAGGGCAGGTGGGCAGCAGCAATTGCCTGAGCTAGAGGGGAGCCAAGACACCAGGGTTAACAGCCCTCATCTTGGGAAGAAAAAAAGACACAGGATCTTTAATGACCAAAATGGCTGAGACCTTTGTTTTATACCTCTTCTGAAAAGCAATCACACACATTTTAGCAGGGGAGCTTTTATTCTCATGCGGATGGGGTAGCCAGTGCAGTGTCCTCTCCCAAGCGCATCCAGACCTGGTCAGTCCAAGTGCACAGAAGAGCAACATGAAACATGTTTGACCTTCACAACTTTCCTTTACAGACCAGCAGGATAAAACCCTGAAGGAATTCTCCTGAGTGAGTTTGTCCAAAGCAACATTCACCACCTCATTCAATATTTGCCTGCAAAAAAAATGCCAATTATTGAAAGACAGTCCTGGCTGGGCATCAATAGGCAGCCAGGTGTGAGAAGTTGAAGAGAAATGCATCTCATTAATGTGGAATTGTTTTTAGGTTAATAATCTTGCGTTAATTTTCCTTTAAAATATTGTCTTTGACCGTTAAACGCTTGCACTGTTATAAAAAGAACGTAATAAATGATCTTGAAGCAAATTCTCCTGCCAAATGTCATAATTTATTTGCATAATTAGCTCTTAATTTTAATTCAATATGCAAATCCACGCTTCCTTTAAATTGCAGCAGCCTGTTTCCCGGCCTTGGCTGCCATGAATTTATTGTGAGGCGGCTGTTTGAAAAGGCAGCTTCACTGCCTTCTGGGGATGGCTGCCTGGGGGAGGGGGTGCCCACCGCCAACTCCAGGCACTTTTTGTTTGGGTTTTGTTTTGGTTCGCTTCTTATTAAGTTGGACCCCAACCTGCTTCAATCCCTGAGCATCCTCCTCTTCCCCTCAACATGTCCTGTTTCCCTTTCTCTTCCTTCTGCTTTCTCTCTCTCTTTTCTCTTCCTCTTTGGAGAAGACAATGTTGATTCTCCATGTTCCCTGCCCCTTGGTCCATCCCCCCCCTCACTCCCTCCTGAAAGGCTCTGGCTCAAGTCAACCTGGCAACTGCTCTGCTCTCCTCCCTGTTTTGGCTCCCTTTCCTCAGCCCTTGCTTGCTGTACAACAGCCCCTGTTCAATGCCTTTCTGAGGTGCCTGGAGGAAGATGAGCAGGAAAGGGTTGGCTTCCCCATGGGGTTTCATCTCCCAGTCCCTATCCATGGCCAGAGGCCCTGCAAATGGCCAGAATCCCCTCTCACTTCCCTGCCTGTGCCCCCATGGCACACCAGACTGTGCTCCATGCTAAGCCCACCCCAAGCCACTGGGCTCATGGCAGGGGAGCCTGCAGTGAGCAGAACCCCGGGCAAGTCCCTGCTGCTGGGAAGCAGATGAGGCTGTTGCCCTGCATAGTTATCAGCTACCTGCGGAGCTGGAGCGGGGGTACTTCCTTCCCTTGCTACCTCCCCATCACCAGTAGCCCTCCATGTTTGTGCCGCAGCTCTGCATCTGACAGGAGAGTGGTAGACCAGACAGCTCAACATCAGCCCACACCTGGGCTCGGGCGCAGCCCTTGCCCAGTGCCCTGGGCTGTGCAGCCAGCTGGCAACAGGCACTGCTCCTCTGCTATGAGGAAAACATCCAAATGAAACAGCTCACAGGCTTCTCTCCTTCCCCTCTTCCAATCCAAAATGGAAACAGGATTTCAGCAACCAGAGTTCCCCTAGGTAGAGAAGGTGGCTTGGAGAATATGGCGTGGGTGCCTTCAAGGGATGACTCCTTCTATCCTCTGTCCTCATCCCCAGCGGTGTAACTGCACTTGGGGTGATGAGGAGCCTGGGCATTGCTCCTGGAAGCTCACTCCGGTTGATGCAGGGCCATGGGAGCCAGATCTCTGGAGGTTTTTCATCACCTTGTCTCTTTGACAATGGCTGATCAGTGAGGGCTGTGAGTGCTGTGTTCTTCAATTCCCTCTAGCTTCACATCCCAGGATTTGTCCCTGGAGCACAGAGAGCAAGGAGGACACCCAGAGACTCCTGCCCTTGAAATTCACAGCACGGGGAGAGGAGTGGGAGAGATGGGTGATGGAGTAATGTGAGTCCAGGGTTTCACACACGGGTTAGGGAATGGAGCAAAAGGGACAAATTAGCCTAGACAATAGGAGATCTTTTTCACTGGGGGAGGACTTGGGGGAGAGGAAGATAATTAAATGATGCTCCATCAAAGCGGAGGCAGTTTGCAAGCTGCTCTCCCTTGTAACTCTATCGCCTTCACCTTCCAGGGAGGACCATGAGGGTCGACAGCCATCCCCTGTGCTGGTATCGGGTGCACTCCCTCCCCTGGGAGCACCGGGAAGCAATGGGGGTGCCTTGGCAGAGGGAGGGCCTGGGCTGGGGGCTGTAGGAAGGAGAGGGTGTTGGTATCTCATTACAGGCCTTAGATCTCTGGAGAGGAAAAGAAAAGAGAAAAAAACCAAAACCAAACCCCCAAACCCAACCACAGGCTTTTGTTAGAAATGCTGTCCGGGAAGGAAGGAAGAGGCAGGAACAGCTCAAATTCAGTCCTTCGATAATTAAAGCTTGCAAGAGAATAAAAGGGGAGGGCAAAAAAAAAAAAGGGCTTTCCCTCCTCCCACCTGCTCCCAAAACAGGGCTGCTGTGGCTTCCCTGGGAACAAAGGGATATGGTAAGAATGGGCTTTTGCTTGATCCCGCAGCGGCTGGGAGAGAGCAGCGGGACAAACGTGTGGCCCTATAGATGGGAGCCCCTCATCAAAGCCAGGGAAAAATAGCAGGGAAATGTGTCTTTCTGTTCTACTGCTCATCAGAGCAGGGCTCCGACTTCCCGATTCAAGAAAATTTGGCAACTGAAAGCAAAAATATTTCAATTCCAAAACTGGCCAGAAATACTTCAAACCCCTGCGCTTTCTGCTCAGCGAAATAAAGGAGAGGGAAATCCAGCCACTGGGCAACCCACAGACCCTTCCTGACATGGTCTGACTGATCAGAGCCTCTTAAAAAACCACAAGTAAACCCAGGACTATTTGGGACTTGAGACAGCAGGGGTCTGAGGGGCTCTGTGGGGCAGGCAAAGGGAGTGGAAAAGACTTAGCATTACCTTCAGCCAAGGCTACTCTCCTGCATCCACCTGCTGCATGTCTTAGGACCTCATGTATGTCTCTGGGTTTAGTGATGCTCATGAAAAGCAACCAACATGCACCTGTAACAGGACTCTCAGGCAAACATCCCCTTTCTCAGCTCTTAATATGTTCAAGGTTTTTTCCTTTTTCCCCCCCCTCCATCTACTGCCTCTATTACTTCTTACAGCTCCAGACCTCAAATGCTGTTTTCCCCCAAGTGTCCTCTGCTTTTCCAGCTGAGGATGATGCTGCTGAAGCTGGTGGTGAGCCTGTGGAAGCCTGGGCAGGAAAGTTTTACTTCCAGATTTCTCTACGGCAATGAGCAGTGACTGTCAGTCACTTTCCTGTGCCTCAGTTTCTTCACCTAATAACTGGGGATAATATGCTCTCTGGGTCTGGGATGTCTCATATGGGAACCTGATGGAAACTACCAGCTCCTTACTAACACAATGTGCACAGCATTCTTCTATGTTATGTTTACGAGATGTCAGGGCAGAATGGATGCTATTCTCTGCTGTATGCCACCACATCTCTGTGGCTTGATTCCATGTCCACTCCTGACCACAGACCTGTGATGACAGCTTTTGTACCTCAAACCCCAAAGGACCAGGGCCTTTGCACTGCGTGGCACATGTCACAGAGATAGGATACGCAGCCAAATACCAGTGGTGGGTTAGCCACCACGACCCAAGTGTGGGGCTGCAGATGGACTGTGCTCCTGGCTGCTGGAATGGAGCTCTGTTAAGATAAAGATAAATAAAGTCCCTGTAGGAACTCAAGAAACTGAAAATAAAAGTGATACAAGGAGACTATTTTAAAACAGCTGATGCTGTGGTTCCTGGAAGCTGGTTTTGCAAGGCCAGCATCAGTTTTGCACTGCTTCTGTGGGGTGACACCAGCCTGCTGTCGCACTGGATTAGAGATAGATAATAGCATGCTTTCTGCCCCTCCCACAGCCCTGCTGCATGATCTCGGCTCATCACTTAGGTGTCCAAGGGCTTTCTTTTGCCGGCTTGGCCCATCTAAATCAGAGCTGTTTGGGTGGAGATGATCTCTCACCTGCTTGGGATGGGCTGCAGTGGGTTCTGCGACTCATCGGGGACCTCGAGGCTCCCTGGGAGAGCAGCAAGAAGCAGGTTTCCAAAAGCTGATGAGGTTGTGTTGGTTGCACTGCCTGAATGAGCAGCCTTGTTATGCTCTCAAACTGTGTATCCACTCCTAGGGACCAAGGATATTGGCATCCTTTACAGATAAAGGAGAAAAAATGCCCCAGATTTCTCTCCCCACCCTGCCTGGTCCTCATAGGCCAGCTTGGTGCAGTTCAGTGGTTCCCTGGTGCTTGGTGCCCTCTGAGTCTTCACACTAAGAGGGCTGAGGACATGAAGCTAATCAAGCAATTGGATTGCCTTAACATGCCTTAGTGCTTTATAATACCTGCCATTCTCCATGGTTGAGTCTGTTTCTGATGCTTGCCATATTTGAGGGTTATATTGCTGTGCATTCCATGGTCCATGCTGCCCTTCTGCTAAATGCTGCCTTCTGTCTTGCTCAGTTAATGGTTAAAGTGGTCGCCACACCAAGCCAAGGCTGGCCCTTTGGCTACCTCCCTGGCTGGCCCAGCAGGAGGGGGCTGCTGAGACCCCCCAGCCACCCCAGCTCCCCAGGAGCGTTCCACACAACGCCTGTGGAAGTGTACAAAGTGTCAACCTCAGCGTAGTTTTTAACCTGGAGTGATAGCTTTACTGATTTGCCACTTTACTACTCTTGTTAATGAATTTTTAATCTTCTTAATGACATTAAACACGGAAAGTAATTAAGGAAAACAAGTTTGAAACTGCTGACTTAAACCCTTTATTCAGAACTATTTAATGTAGAATTAATTTGATTTTGCCCATTATTCAAATGAACACATTACCTTCCTGTGCATTGGCCTCTTTTCCTTTTTTTTTTTCTTTTTTTGTGTGTGTTTTCTTTTATTAAATATATCATATAATGCTTTGTCCTCTTTGATCGGAGGTAACTATGGGGTTTCTCTCTCCCAATGACAGAAATGGTCAGCCTTTGGCATCTCCCACGGGTCTTGTAAAGTCTCCCTGCATCAAGAGTTCAGCTGTGCTTGGGAACAGAGGTAGCATGCCTGAGATACCAGGTTGTTTCCACTTGCTCGATTAGGAGAGAAAGGAGCTTTGCTTCTCAGTGAGAGCTGCCGGACTGCATCCTTAGCACAGGACGTCACATCTACCATCTACGGCAGGGAGCAAAGCCATGCTGATTTACATCAGACTGTCAGGCCTCTGCAAAGCAGAGAGCAGAGGCTCATGTGAGCACTTAGGGAAAAGCAGATGCTCAGCTTTGTCTTACAGTGGAAGAAAGGGGTCCTTGAAACTTGTATTACCACTTCATTGACACCACAGGCTAGACCCATTCTTTCCACCCTTCTTAGGTATTATTGGCTCTCACCCACACATACGAAGACAA